TGAAGCTTTCAAAAGAGCTGATGAGGAACAAGTTGCAAAGGCAAAGATCGTAAAGGGTTGAACACAGATGTGTAGGAAACTTGTAAACTTTACCTTCCGACTGACTCTGCTTGGCTCGAACCGAATCCTCCGGTACGGCATCCGCAACTGCCGGATTGTTGTTGCTTTCCGCAACAACTGAAACAGAAAAGTAGTTTTCCCAGTTGATAATCTGCGGTAGAGAGAGAATATTTTTGATCGAGACGAATCGAAAATACGGAAATATTTTGATATGGGATTTTTATCTTTATATTTTTGTTCCAACATTGAAAATTTAAATGAGACATGAAGCTTTCAAGAGAGCTGATGAGGAACAAATTACAAAGGCAAATATTGTAAAGAGTTGAAACAGATGTGTAGGAAACTTGTAAACTTTACCTTCCGGCCGATCTTGCTCTGCCCGAACCGGACTCTCCGGTGCGGCATTCGCGTCCGCCGAACTTGCTTCCCGCAACATCTGGAACAAAAATTTAGCGTTCGTGGTTGGTAAGCTGCGGTAGAGAAAGAATGTTTGGTCGGGATGAGTGGAGAATATTCGCTACGGTTTTTATTCTTCATTGACATTGAAAGTCTAGATAGGACTTGGAGCTCTTGAGAGAGCTGACGAAAAAAAAAGATAACAAGAAGCGGAGACAACAGTTGTGTACTCTCGAAAATACTCTTTTACGAATAGACATTTAAATTTTAGATCCCGTAACGAGTAAACAGACTTGAAAGAAAGAAGCGCTGACCGAAAACAAAAAGGTCGCAGTCTAAGAAGCGGTATAACGTTGAATATTCTATACAAGACCGGTATACTCATACAATTGGGAATTATTCAGAATGTTTGATTGAGAACATGAATTAGAAATCCGCGTTCATGGACCGTTATCTCTGGATTTCTGTCTCTGTCTGGATCAATATTTCTTGTATATAATATATTCTTGTATAAAAATGTCAAATTTCTTGTATATATTAATAATAACAATAACAATATAATAATTAACAATAACAACGTAATAAATAGACAGACAGAGATTGACGAGAGTAATTGCAGATTCATAAAGTCATGATTACTAGTCGGATGATGACAGATCGTGAATGCCGAGTGCGAAATTCTGACTTCTTATTCCCGGAAAATTCGTCAAACGTCCACTTTCTCGTTATCGAGACCTCCCGCATAATAAATGATTCCACATACCTGGAAACGTGACGTATCGCTGCCGGCTTCCCGGCTGCTGGAGTCCTCCAGACTCCACTCGCTCACGCTTCTAATGTCGATACTCGCGATTCGATCGTGCGGTTAATCAACGTGATGCCGATTGAGTATCTCGAGGACTGACGAGATATATTTCTTTCAATTACGAAACGGAAATGACGAGCACATCGCGCACGGCTGCTGCTGATGGAATAAGGTCGAATATGCGAGGTGCGCGACTATTAATACGAAGGGCAAAAAGTGTCGTCGCTCGCAAGCCGATCAACACAATCGGCGTAATGTAAACATTGCGGGCCTCGGCGGCAGTTAAAGCAAGAGAGACTTGCCCTTAAATGTCTTTTATTTTCTCGAGGGTTCCGGAACGACGAGGGGAATGCGAGGAGGCTTTTCAACTGTACGCGACATTGATTTACTATTTATTGATTACTGAGAATAAAGAAAATTACTCTGTCGAAGCATCGGACATTTGTTAGCTTTATATTAATTAAAGAAGAATGTGTACGATTAGAAAATGTGTTAATAATTAATTGTACAGAGTGTCAAAGTTGTTGTGACGCCGTTTTCGGAGAATAATTAAAGGTCATGGTAGCGTTAAAGAGTGGAATTTTATCTCAAGCGAATTTTGTCTCGTTCGTATTAAATGTTAGATTATCCGCTGCGGACAATAACTCTTCTACTTTTCATTTAATATTCAATGATGATAAATAACATTTAATTGCATTCGTTTGGCTTTTTTCTTTTTATTTCGAAAATAAAAAAATATATATACCAGGTTGAGATTTCACCCATGACAACATCAACGTGATTTTCTTTTTAAAAGTTCAGATATTTCGTCGGCTCGCGAGATATTTATAATCGGAGTCTCGTCGCGTTAATTAACACGTGCTCCTCCGAGCGGATCGAATGCTCACCGACGGCCACTGTCAGTGCCACGAGCGAATGTCCGGAGCGAACGGGATGCTGAATTGAGAAGCAGGACGAAGGAAACGGGACGCGGGCAACGATACATCATGCGTCTCTAGACGTGTCAAATCGTTTATTATAGAGGAGATTTTGATACGGCAACATGTATTCGAAGATTTAATATTTAATATGTACTTTTATTTTTCCTGCTCCTCCCCCTCCTCCCCCTCGCGCTCTTTTTAAACCTCCGGGCATAGTCTGGCATAGAGATTGCAGCACGGACGTAAATCCCCTGAAAGTGGATGTAACACGGACTTCCACCACATGCAGATTTTACCACCGAGATCTGAAAGTGAATTTAGCATCGTAGTTCTTCTCTCAAAATGGATGCAGATGGCGTCCTTTCCCAATGCGGAAAGTCGATGTCGTAGAAAATGCCGTGTTGGCCGCTCTCAGGATTCTCTCAGTGCTGCGATTTTGTAACTCGTTATTGGAGTTAACGACAGTTTCGTTATTGTTGCGCAGCTTTTCTACGGTATACAAAAACTGCGCAACGATAACGAAAGTGTCGTTAACTCCAATAACGAGTTACAGAATCACGGTACTGTAGCGGGATTCTGTAACTCGTTATTGGAGTTAACGACACTTTCGTTATTGTTGCGCAGCTTTTGTATACCGTAGAAAAGCTGCGCAACAATAACGAAACTGTCGTTAACTCCAATAACGAGTTACAGAATCGCACCACTGGGGCTGTATTCCGTACCTGCATATCGACAGTTATCGATGTCGTTAGCGGCATTGCGCAGATTTTTCATATAATAAAAAAGCAATACTACTAACGACACCGACAACTATCGGTACGCGAGTACGGAATACATAGAACAATAGACATTTGTATATTCCCAGCGGCGCGATTCTTTAACTCGTTATTGGAGTTAACGACACTTTCGTTATCGTTGCGCAGCTTTTGTATATCGTAGAAAAGCTGCGCAATAATAACGAAACTGTCGTTAACTCCAATAACGAGTTACAGAATCGCAGCACTATGGTGCGATTCTGTAACTCGTTATTGGAGTTAACGACACTTTCGTTATCGTTGCGCAGCTTTTGTATATCGTAGAAAAGCTGCGCAACAATAACGAAACTGTCGTTAACTCCAATAACGAGTTACAGAATCGCAGCACTGTACCGTGATTCTGTAACTCGTTATTGGAGTTAACGACACTTTCGTTATCGTTGCGCAGTTTTTGTATACCGTAGAAAAGCTGCGCAACAATAACGAAACTGTCGTTAACTCCAATAACGAGTTACAAAATCGCAGCACTGGGGCCCTATTCTTGAACTACTTGCGTACACGTAAGTGGCAAGTTTCGACTAATCGCAATGGAAAATCCCTAGAACCGTATTCTTGACAATCGCAAGTGAAACGTATGCGCAAATTATCATTCACAATGCAACGAATGGGTAATACCATCTGTTTCTCTCGAAACGTATGTAATACGTTATGCAAAGTACAGAAAGTGGAGTATAAGAGTACACATAAAAGCACACTGTTATTAAGAAGAAGAATAATTCAACGCTAAGACGGCTGAAAGAGTGGAAAATAATAGCTGACTTTACATATCCGTAAGAGAAATAATAAATATGAAATTTAAGAGAAAATAGCATATAAATTTCACTGCATTTTAATTATAGAATAAAATTGTGTAACAATAATGGATTTAGACGATATAATAGTAAACATACCAGTTATAAATGCGTTAGAACATGCTGAAATAATGGAAGAACCAAGAAGATTTTTCCATATCAGTTCCATATTTTCCACTTTATTCTGCTGAACGCAGCCAATTAAAATTCGTCATATCGTATTTTTGGTCGATATTTGCAGAAAGTCTATATGTTTTCCAATGTTGTCAAACGTAATTAAACGCAACGGAAAGTGTATACGTTTCTAGTTGCGAATACTACACAATTCAACTACACAGTTCAAGAATACCGTGTCAAAAACGTATGCGCATTTTTACTATTCGCAACGTGCGTATACGTAAAGTTGCGTATAGATTAAAAAATGGGGCCCCAGGATATTGGTGTCGGACGTCCCTGAGATGAAGTGTGCTGTGTGGGGGAATTGAATTTGCCCGGTAAATCGTACCGAGTATCTATCAAATACAAATACTCCAGGCAAAGCAATAGGTTTGGTTAATGAAGAAAATTCACGCGTTTCCTTAGGTAAGAAATATGCAGGCACACGAAAATTTCTTCGGAGACGTCAAGAACAAGGGCGACTGGTCCTTGCGATCACGTATCCTCCATTCTTTCTTGTCGACCGTTAAATCCTCGAAGGTGATTTTTAGTGTCCCACGAATACAATAATTTCCACGGATAATCGCGACCGGCTGGAAAAATATGAGTTTTAACAACCGAAATCTTAATCCGCTTTGCGTTTATTGTCAATTTAGGATGAATCTCAGTTCGACACGAAGAAAGCCGAAACTTTTTACGAGACGTACCTCGACGCGCAAGGTAATAAATATTCGATGGACGAACAAGGATCATCACATTGTCTCGATGAGAGAAAAATAAAAGATTCTCTGTTCCTTGCCGGCAACGGCGAAGAATAAATTTGAGATGAGATTTTTTACAATGAGATCAAAGAGAAACTCATCAGAGTCGTACAAGTTATATCAATAACTTGTACGACTCTGATAACAATAGTTGTATCAATAAGTCGCAAACTACACAACACGTCTTTCCGCGTGCAAAATTGCCGGAGGCAATCGATCGAGATTAAACCTGCTAATTGACTTTGACGATTTTCTATATACGAAAGAAATTTCACGTGGAGAGCCGCGGTTTAAAATAGGTTATGATTCGGCCATTGCTGTGCCCATTCGTGACGCTCACGCGCGGCAGTTAGAAATTCTGGGACGGCGATGATAGGAGAATCGCGTAGTCGCGAGGGTCTGCTTACTTTAGCGATGCCTCAGGTATTACTGAGCGACGTGGCGGTCACGATGGAGCTGGAAGGTAAATTCGTCGGAATCGTCATATTCGTGAGAGCGCGGTGTATCACTCGCACGCACACACATAGCTCACTCGTGACCTAACCTACATCTCTGTAAACAGCATCGCGCGATTTTGCAATTACGCCGTAAATTCAAATCGCCGGGCATCGCTAAATAGCCGCCGGGTCAAGCGGTCTGCCTCTTCCCGGTCTAAGTCTCTCATCGGTCGTCCCTTATTGTCCAACTTGCCTCATGAGCGTGTCACGGGTTTTATTTTCGTACAGCCGAATGTAGGTTACAGTTACGTAACCCTTACGTCGCGGGAGAATGTAAACATGCTGTGTGCCGCTATGTGATGACAATTTGATTTTATTGTAGCAAGTCAAGAACCATGGCCCCAGCCGATCATTCTGTACCAACCGTACGAGGTAGAGCAGATTTTGCTGCCTGACAATGCAAATTGCCTGGCGGTGCAGGCTTTTCTCAAGATGTGTGAGCTGAAATTTGAGATAGAACCGAGGAAGAATGCGGAGTTCATGTCACCGTCTGGCCGGGTGCCATTTATTAAATGCGGCGGCAAGTTGATATCCGAATTCGATGCTATAGTGACGCATATAGGGAGCAAGGTAACGAGCCTGTCCAGTCATTTGGACCATGAAGCCAGAGTGGATATGAGAGCATATGTGTCCTTGGTAAACAATGTATTTGTAAATGCGGAACTATATGTATGCTGGGTGGACGAAGCTGTTTTGAATACAGTGACAAAGCCCAGGCATGGAAGTGTATATCCGTGGCCACTTAACCATTACCTGAATTGGCAAAAGAGAAGAGAGGTCATTAAGAAGCTCAGTGTGCTTGGTTGGTACAACAAAAGTTTGGACCAAGTGTTTGATGATGTAAAGAAATGCTGCATTGCTCTGTCAGAGAGGCTGGCAGACGAGGAGTTTTTCTTCGGGAAAAAGTAAGTAACTCTCACAGTGCTTCCTTTTACTTGTATGTTTATTTATTCATTTTTCCAAAAGACCCACCGAAATCGATGCTCTCGTGTATGGGCATATCTACACCCTCACATCGCCTTCCTTTCCTTCGAACCAAAGGATCATTACCACAATCCGCCAATTCCCAAGACTTATCGAGCACATGTTCAGAATCAAACACCGCTACTTCAGTTTTCAACGTAGGGAGTTTACGGATGGCTTCGAAATAATTGAATCGCCATCCAAGGATACTCTGTGGGATGGCTTTCAGTCACAGCCTGAGTCACTTCCTTCCCTTTCCGAGAATTCCTCTACATTTTCGATAAATTGACACACACTATACATAGTGTACGCAACATTTAAGTAATTTTACGTACTGTTTGCACAAGTATGTTAACGGAAATTCAAAGGCATGATACGAGAGAATTTTAATTACATGCAACTTTACGTCTAATAGACCTAATGAGTTGGATGCTTTGGTGTTTGGTCACATATTCACGATAATCACAACGCCGTTACCCAACAACGAGCTGGCTAATATCGTTAAGGGCTATCCGAAGCTCGTCAACCTCTGTAAACGCATCGAGACTAGGTATTTTCGGCGTATAAAAGACTAGATAGAACCTTACTCGGACTTCGGATATATCGAGTTGCAGTACACCGATCACGTTCGTCATACACTGAGGTTCCTGTGCTTTGCGACTGACGCAACAAAGGATACGAACATCAAGGAAAATCTCTGTAGTATTCAATGATTCGCTGAATAGTTACCGGCTTAACAAGTTGACAAACTGGTGCCTACCTGTCGAGTTGATGAATCTCGTTTTCCTTCGCTGCAAAATGGGTATATCTGAAGTGCGAGTAATGTTGAAGTATGACGTGTAGTACATTTTAACAATGTTGTTGATCTAATTATGTTATAAAATCCATTATATGTATGTGTATACATGCATATACACATACATATACAGGGTGTTTCATTTTAAGTGATATGGTCAATTATCTCGCGAATCGATGATTTTATTGAAAAATTTTTCGAGCGAAAGTTGCATGGCTTGAAGAGGGACACATAATGGAAATGTGGACTTGACCTTGAGTGACCTTGTCAAAATCAGGTCTAGGTCATTAATGTTTTTTTCAAATGGAAATCCCTATTCTTTATTACATATTCTTGTAGCTTATCTCGAGAGCTTCCCAAAACACTATAATAAAGTTACGTTTCATTGACTACTTTCAGAGTTATGAGGCTTGAAAGTTAAGGCAAGACCGATCACTGATCCGGCATCCTGGCCGACTAAGGCAAGACTTATCAACGACTAAAGACATATTCGAATTGATCGATCTTGCCTTAATTGGCCGGATTAATGATCGGTCTTGCCTTAGTTGGCCGGATCAGTGATCGGTCTTATCTTAGTTGGCCGGATCAGTGATCGGTCTTATCTTAGTTGGCCGGATCAGTGATCGGTCTTGCCTTAATTTTCAAGCCCCATAACTCGGAAAGTACTCTATGAGACGTAACTTTATTATAGTGTTTTGGAAAGCTCTCGAAATAAGCTACAAGAATAATAAAAATAATAATAAAGAATAGATTTCCATTTAAAAAAACACTAATGACCTTGACCTGATTTTGAGGTCATTCAAGGTCAAGTCCACATTTCCATCATGTGTCCTCCTTCAAGCCATGCAACTTCTTGTTCGAAAAATTTTTCAATAAAATCATCGATTCGCGAGATTTGAAATTGAAACACCCTGTATACAATGGAGTATAATATATATATATATATATATCTATTAAATCATTCCATGATTCTCGAATAATTTATTTCTCTCTTCTGTGTAAGTGCATAATTTTTGAATCGATCATCTGGTTCATTCCACATGCGTAATATTGCACGTAACATTTTTCAGCATTTTTCCTCTTGAAGCTATAGAGTCAAAAGCAAAAGAGTCAAAAGCAAAAGAGTCAAAAGAACGTAGTGAAACGCTGGAGCTCAAGAATAAAGTCAATGATCCAGGCGAGGATTTAGTTAAGAAAAAATAATATGGTAACCTTTCCTGAACTTGACTAAATTCAAATTTCACGTACCGAGCGATCGCATGTCGGGAGAAATTGATGTGTATAGAATCTTGAAGACTGTTTCGATTAGATGTAAAATTCACTTGCCGCAAGGCGCACATCATTTAGCATGATCAATCTGTCCGTCGTGTTATTTATATACTTATTAATTACAGCTGTAATTATACGAGATATCAGTATTGTATGTTGTTAAGTACAAAAAAGGTGTGAAATTAATATACTGGTGCCGATAATTCGCAGCAGGGTAGAAGAGAAAAGAATCTAGTCAATACAACCACTCTCCCATATCCATCTCTGTATATGTCGCACGCCGGGAAGTGACGCCATCGCTGACGTAACACGTGGGTAATGGCTGCATGCGTAAAATATGATTCCCTGGTATATAATTTCACGATTCTAACGTGTGATATACGATCGAGTACTTCTTGTCTCCAGCGTTTCAATTCTCACACGAAGCGAACATGCCTGTATACCTTTGTAATTTACACCCCTCTCGTCAATTTACTTCTACACGTAGTGACAAACGTCGCAGGGGATGATTGATGATCGTGACACGCAAGATAACAATAGAATGCACAATCGTGTGATGTACAAGACGTTCAGGGCGAGATTAGTTAAACAGACGACGCGGGCGATCTCACGAATAACAATCTGCTTTATTACTATAATGTATTTGTGCATAATGTGTGGTTGTTATAATCTTAAAGTATGATAGACACTACACGAGATGCAAGACTTTTTCTGCGATGCCTCCTGTTACAACACATCGTGTCGCTAACTTTGTTCTCTTTTGATACTGTGAATTCGGACTATGCTTTCTTACGCTATGAATTATACACAAGTTTATATATAGCACAATGTAACCCCAGGCGCATAATTATATAATTAGACGTGTGGTGTAATTATATAATTATCAACAGGGATACTCTTATAACATCTTGTATATATTTCTCTTAAGAATCGCAATCTAGAGAGATGTAGATCTAAGGATCGTGACGATGATAAACAATTGCGGTTCACAGCGAGATCGGAGAGTGTAATGTTGTCAACGGAGAAGAATTTTCAACATGCGACCCGGCTAGCAAGATAAATAAACTGAGATCATTCGTTTCGCACCGGCGCGGTGCTAACAGAGGGAACGGCGTGATCGATCGATCGATTCTCTCTCTCTCTCTCTTTCTATCTCTCTTTCGCGCGCGCGGCTATTGCTATCAAGTATAAACCGTAAAACAAAATACCTCAAGTATAATATAATATGAATTCTATTATGTACAAACGTCGTATAAACGCATCATGGAGAGACTCATTTGGAAGTATCGATAGAAACTATAAACAGCAAATCAGAACTATCGCGCTTATGCTGTCTCCTTGCTACGCAGGAATCGGTATCTCTAACTTGACTTTCAACCTAATAAACGAACCAACGAAATCGCAATCTCGTTACATTCGCATGCAACGTTCGCGCCTCTGTAAATGCTGCCTCGCACGTGACGTGAATCAGAACGATAACTTCAATGGTCTAGAATTGTTAAATTCGTCTCTATATATATACCAACAGGTATACTCATTTGTGAAACATTGTAAAGTGTATAATATAGCGGCTTATGCTACGCATTGCGGAATAACTATTATATTTTATCTATTTAATATCTTTAAGATATTTTATAACTCTTTTTCTCTTCGACCGATATATCTCTCTTTCTCTCTCTTTCCCTCGCAGACGCGACGTTGAATTTGGTGCATGCTACTTAAATTAATCCGGTGGTAGAAAGCTGAATAGCCGAAACTGCTCTCTGATGTGCGGCCGTACGTCTCCTCCCTGCGATCAGAAGTGAGATCAGATTGAAAACTGAAATTATCCCAGGGTTGGGAAAGCTACTTTGTAAAAGTATCTAATTGCAGCTATAGTTTTTTCACTGAAAAAGTAACTAGTTACAGTTACAAGTTACTGACCTTCGAAAATAACATGTCATGATTATTCAAAAAGTAACGAGTCGTTATTTTTCAGTTACTTTTTTACAATAATTGTGTTGTTGTTTTAAATTTCGTAATTGTGTAAATTCCTCCAATTTTTATATAAAAGTAGTTTGTTGATTATATTATATATTCCTTTCATATCGTATATAATTTTTACAAATCAAATTCATCAATTTAAATAAACAATTCATATTTGTTTCTTAAGACTATTAATAACAAACTGTAACTCGAATATTTCTGTATATGCTGGCCATGATATTTTACAATCCTCCTCCGAAGATTGAGATGCTTTTATTTATTGCTTGAATTTTTTATATAACCGAAACCACGCAACGCACTTCAAAGGAAATATTCAATAGGCGTACAATTTTTTTGAAAGAAATACAGGTTACGTTCGGAAAGGAGACTATCAGCGCTATTACGTCATTTTATCCTTTTGCATCTAATAAACGATAAAGATAGATGACGCAATAGCGCGTTTTCCAAATGCAGCCAGAATAATTATGAATGCTTATTGGGTATCAAGCGTCTCACGTCGCGTTATCGTGTTAGTCTGCCAGAAACTTAGGTTTGAAATATATAAAGTAACTATTAAATTAATTACTAGTTATCAAACAAAAGTAACTTAACAGTTACTTTATATATTAACTAAGTTAAGTTACAGTTATAGGTGGAAAAAAAGGAACGAAGTTGAGTTATCAAAAAAAAAAAATTGTAACTGTAACTTCGTTACGTGTAACGAGTTATTTCCCAACCCTGGATTATCCCGACGCGAGAGCCAGCAGGAGGACGACAGAAAAGACAGACGAGAAACTTACCCAGTTCACCAGGTTTTCTAGAAACGGTAACAACTTCATTAGCTCGTTATCGGAGCGGTCGGCGAACCAACTCTCTATGGGTATGCCGTTTTCCAGCTGTAACAACACAAGAGAGACATCACTTTTAATCAGGCTGGGAAATAACGTGTCACTTGTATAACATTTTTTTTGTAACCACTTTGTAACAGCATTATTTTTCTCGTCAGTAACGATAACGCAATTACATTCTCTGGCCAACGGCAACGAATACAGTTGTAACTTTTATCACTGCTTAGAGATTTGTACGATGTGTGGGCTCTGCAGCGAATTGTAAAAAGAAGCTAATATAGCTGAAGCAGCTCGATGCTTCTCGAATAATGAATTATTCTTCACAGTGGACAACCGAAGTGAACACGACCAACTGGCGACCAAGTGACTTTAACGTTAAAACAAATCGATAATGTGTGTGTTAGGCTAACGAATAACTTTTACCAAATGTTATACGTCGATTGCTTTCATCTTTTGAAATCTGAAAAAAAAAATTTACTCAATATCGTTCAGGATATTTATACAAAGAGCGCAAGCTGAAAAAGTGTAAGGAAGATATACACAATATCTCGCAAACAAGAAATTTGTAGGGGAAACTGTTGAAACAAAAATTGCTCGATTTCAAAGGACACATAAGACAATGACTTTTGTTTGACCCCGACAGTCTCTTTCAAAGTCATTATAAAAATTTTTCGACAAAATTGCGAGATTTTATTGTAGTAACTGATTTATATCATATAATTCTGTATGAAAAAATAACACACACATCTTGAAATATAAGCGGATAATAGAATATACTCAACAGCGACTTTCCACGCTATCTTAGAAGTTTCGCTATTGGGCGTTCTATTATCCGCTTATATTTCAAGATGTTTACTTATTTTTTCATACAAAATTATGACATGAATCAATTGTTATCAGTTATTATAAAATCTCGTAATTTTGTCGACAAATTTTTGTGGCGACCTTAAAATTTTTGTCGTGATTTTGAAAGGGACTCTAAAGGTCAAACAAAGGTCCTCGTCTCTTACATGTTAACCTTTGAACCAAACAATCCTTGTTTCAAAAGTTTCTTCTAAAATCTCTTGCGAGATATTGTATAATACCTTCTTTATACTTTTTCAACTTGCGCACTTTATATAAATATTCTGAACAATATTGAGCAAATTTTGTTCTCACATTTTATTCTTCTTTTGGGCTTCCATATCAGACTTCAAAAGATGAAAACAGTCGGCGTATAACATTTAGTAAAGATCATTTGTAAGTGCTCGAAGTGTTGATTTTGTCGGGAAGCTAAAACATTGAAGTTTTCAATGGTGTTATATTTTTTTAATTTACGGAAAATTACGTTCCTAACTTATTTATAATATTTCTTCAAAAGTGAACTGAAGTGTCATTTAGCGACAGTCTAGTTTTGAAGAGGTTAAAAAATAACCACAGATCCAATGCGGCTCAATTTCCAAGATCGGCGAGTAACTGTTCAAACTGTCGCCGTCAGCAGCATTTATGAATCTGATTTTTGAGATGATTAATCGACAATATAAGACCTATAAGACATACAAGACCTGAAGCTGGAGTACATGTTTAGGACAAACATAAATCTGTATCAGCTGATTTATCAAAGGGGAACTGGTGCGATCGTCGAATTCACTTCAGTTATTTTTTCTCCAATCAGTCATAACGTTACTTTCGAATGGTAATTTTCCCAACCAAGTTTTTAATCCTTCAGGGACACTTACAGGAGAGTTGCAAATGAGCTATGTAGAAAATAGACGCTCATCCTGAGAGACAAATAATAACAAAACATTTCTGAGGCATTTCATCTCGAAGAAAAATGGCCGTCTTTGTAGCAAAATTTCTCAATGCCGCGATTTGTACCTGGTATCCGAACGCTTGCGGGCTGTTATCAATGATGACGGTCTTCGACAGGTCTCTGCCCAGAATGGACAGGTCCTTGATGTAATTGCCATTCACGCAGACGCAGTGTTCGCGGAACAGCCGGTACTTGATCAGCTTTCGCGTCGGATCCAGCAGGTTCATCAGCTTGTTGGCGTACACCCGTTTGCTCGCCGTGAATAAGATCACCTCGTACAACGAGGATACGTGTTCGAGGAACTCGCGGAAGTACGGCCGCGTCCTCACAAACACCGTGTACGTAACGTCCTGAAAGACCACCGGGAAGCGGAACGCCGCGTCCGACAACTCCTGTAGGCTGCAATGTACCAACGTCTCATCCTGCAAAAGGTAACTCTCGTGAGCACAACGGGCGTCGACCGGCCGTTCCGCGCGTCTCTTCTCTTTCTCATGTAAAAAATCTACCGGGTGAATGCGAAAGTTCCGATGGGTTCCTGAAAGATGTCCGAGTTTCGCATGGCAGCGCTTTTAAAAATATGCGGAGACGTTCCGCTTGGCGATCGCGTCGACCTATCCGAGTTTCTCAGTGAATTTCGGTTAACTCTCGTCCTTGAATATAAACATATAAACTTTCTCCCCCAAACCGAGGACAAAAGTCAACTGTTTCGAAGCTAAATTGAAAATTCTTAAGGATGGAAGGAATGAAGTTACTTGTCGGGGATGGGCGGGGGGAGGGAGACCATACCGGTAAAGTCCGGCTAGTAATAAGTATATCAAGTAATACAAAATATTTATGGTACGAAAGGATCAACCCTCCCCCTCCTTCTCTATAACGCCATGCGACTTTAAAGTCACGTACTGATATATCGATATTCTTGACTTAACTTATGCAGGATGTTAAAAAGAGTTCAGGACTTAAAAGGCAGATAATACTCACGAAACGGAGGAAGAAAGTCCTCGCAAACATGGGCAGGAAAATTAATATTGTCGGAATTATGAACAATATATTATTTATTTTAATTACGAATTTATATTTAATTGTAGAAAATAGCGAAGAGACCTTTTTTTAGGGATTCTTTTAAAGCATGGTACTCTTCAGCGATAAATGACAAAGAGGCAAATTAATCAGAAAGTACCAGAAGCGGAGTACGTCACTTGCTTTATTTAAAATAAATAATTGTCCAAAACTTCGATAATATTAATTTTCCGTCCTATTTGAGAGGACCTTTTTCCTCCATTTTGTGACCATCATCTGTCCTTAAAGTCCTGAAAGAAAGTACCTTTTTTGTAAACACCTGGCGTACAAATATTGCAACTCCAAAGTTGCGAGCCAGAATAAAATCCTTGAAAGCTGCGGGTTAATCCTTAAGGAGGGAATTACATGCAGAGCAGGTCATTTTCAAGGCTATTTTTACGAATTTTTTCAACAGAAACGGTAACATCAATGGACTCAACATTTTCACAGTGTATTCGTTAATGTTCAAAGCATAAAATAAATTTGTTACTATCTATATGGAAAATACATACATAAAATTTGAAACGCGTTTATCTGGAAACACCATTTTCTTAAACTGTCGACACGATTACACAAAAATTACTGAACCGACTAATTTGAAATTTTTACACAATATACAGTAGATATGTAGTTTTCGCGCCCCTACCTCGAATACAGTTATGTTTTATTTTATTAATTTCTTTAAACATGATTACAACTTGAAAAAAGTTTTACTTTCGATATTTTTTTATATGCAGTCATTATTTTTCCAAACTTGGCTTCATTGCCTTTATTTTGCTACGGGCTATAATGGCAACCGTATATTTTCAAAATCTTTCTCAGTTTTTGGTTTCAGAGTAGTGAGGGAGGCCTGGAATGATGTCGACAGCAAACATAGAACTCGCAAACGGATGACTGCATTTTTATCTACAGGATGCTAAATTTTAAACGTAACAAGTAACAAATCTCGAAAACTATGAAAGATATTAAAAAAAACTAAAACACATGTTCCATGATTTCGAAGGAGAAAGAGAATGGCATTATCAGTTTTTTATTTGGAGGGCATTTTCAAGGTCAGTTGAAGGTCAACTTAATTTTTTAAAATAGAAAGCCCAATTTTTTATTATATCTTCTCTTTCTATCAATTAATTTTAACAACTTTGGTTGAAATATTTTTTTGTCTAATATTTTTTAAAATATTTAAGAAAAACTTGATAACTTTTTCTTTATTTAAGGAAAACTTGATAACTTTTGTTAACTTATCGACCTTTGGAAATTTCAAAATTATTAAATTAACAAAAGGTAAGGCACTATTATAGTAACATATTCTTGATAGTAAATAAAGTAAGAAAGTCTAATACTATTTTTTCTTTGGACGAATAGTTAGCGAAATATCGTAAGTTAAATGTTGAAAAAGTTACCAAATTTTCCTTAAATATTTCAAAAAATATTAGACAAATAAAAACATATTTCAGACCAAAGTTGTTAAAATTAATTAGTAGAAAGAGAAGATATAATAAAAAATTGGGCTTTCTATTTTAAAAAATTAAGTTGACCTTCAACTGACCTTGAAAATGTCCTCCAAATAAAAAAACTGATAATGCTATTCTCTTTCTCCTTCGAAATCATGGAACACGTGTTTTAGTTTTTTTTTAATATCTTTCATAGTTTTCGAAATTGTTTACCTGTTACGTTTGAAATTTAGCACCCTGTATAATTACAAATTGGATCGGTTCATGTGATTTAATAAAATTTATTTTATACTTTGAACATTAATGAATATACCGTGAAAATTTTGGGTCCATTGATGTTACCGTTCCTTAAAAAAATTTGTAAAAATAGCCTTGAAAACGGCCTGCTCCGCATTCCCCCCTTCCCCCCTTAATGTCCACCCGGAGGTTAATGCTTGCTGCTCCCGCGTTACACTCAGGGAAAAAATTGTTGCGACCGCCAAGTGGGGCGACCGCCGTTGAACCGCGGAAATGATGAAATCGCGCTCGGGCCGGGAATCCCATCGGGAGCGAACCCTCGCGCTCAGCGCGCCCGCGTGCATGCAGTAATTGAAGTCGGGTGGTTGTAAAAAATTACACGTGCATGCGTGGTGGTAGAAAGATGTAGCACGAGCGTACCAGATCCAAGACCAAACTGAACTCCGGACTGCTCCTCGTTTTGAGAGGCAGCGCGGGACATCTGGCCCTCATCGCCGGCGTGAGCGGCGGCAAGTGCTTGATAAAGACGTAAGGATCGAACGGTTCCCAGTCCTCTTGAACTTGAGTAACCATGTTCTCTACATCGCAAGACTCTACTATCTCTTCGCTACCCACCTCCATGTACTCAACCTCGTGAAAACGACTCTCGACATCCTCGGAATCATATTTGTCACTAAGATTGCCGTTTGTATCGGATGGATGATGAGGATTTATATTGTACATACTTGCTGGTATACTATACTTTGCACTGCTGGGATATCCAGCAGTTGCCTCATATTTTGTTGGGTCTGTTTCAATAGCATATTGATCTTTTGCGAGATCACCGCGGTTTTCATTGTTACTCGCTAGGGAGTACTTCCCGCTCGGGAAGTACTTGCTGTTGTCGGGCGACGGGTACGCGTTACGGCCGCTGTACGCCGACGTCGAGTGCATCAAGCTGTAATATTCGACGGACGTGTCGGCATGCGCATACAGCGTGGAGTAGTAGATCGACGACGGTAGAGTATCTGCAAGGAGAGAGACGCGCCGTGAGAACTTAAAGAGTCACTCTGAAAAGGAGTGCGACCAGTCACACTATGAGAGTGCGGTGGGAAGAAGGAGATGTACCGTTGCTCCTGCTTCCCTCGTCGTCCAACAAACACGTGAGATCCGAATGCGAGCCTAAGGACACGGGAGGCATCAGATAGGTCAGCGGGGACACGCTCGGCGTGGAGGACTTGGGCTCATGCGTCGGTGGTATCATCGGACAACGCGACTCCGTGCTCGTCGCCGACGGGCACAGAGGCAAGGCGGCGGCGGCAGCGGCAGCAGCAGCGGCGGCTGCAGCGGTGGCGGCGGCAGCGGCGGCGGCGGCAGCGGTGGCGGCAGCAGCGGCGGCGGCGGCGGTCGCGGCGGCAGCGGTATTGTTGCTGCTGCTGGTGCTGGTGGTGCTAGTGCTGGTGCTCGTGCTGGTGCTAGTGGTGGAGCTGCTCCCGTTCCAGTTCTCCTTAGACTCCTCCGAGACTTTAGACGGCGTGGCAGTCCTCGTGGACTACAAAACGCACAGATTCGAGTTAAGCACGACTCTGACTGTTGATTCTGCTCTGTATTTTGCGCAAGCAGGCTTCTTACAATGACTGCGTCTATCGGAGGAGCGCGGTGCAGCGGAGTCGACGTGACCATGGACCGTTTTATGCATTTTCTTCTACGAGGTCCTCTCTCTCGTCTAATAGGCGTGGATTTGGCAAAATGTAAAACATTCTCTTTACAGGCCTACGAAGATAACAATTGCTTTTTAATGTCCTCCCTACGCTTCAGTTAGCCAGTGTGTATACAGTGCCGGTTAGTTTGCAAAGTTTGTTTTAATAAAGAATGAGCGGTACAAATGACCTGCAAAGATCATTTATGGTGAGCACGCAATGATAACACACACACACACATACACACAGCTTATTCGTATAGCAAATCGCTCTTGGGCGTAAGACACCAGGATAACACAGCGATTATCCTTACGACAGTCCCTCTCAGCAGGGTCCACTTACTTCTTTGAGGAAATTCGACGACCTGCGTCGCCACTGAGTCAGTCTGCCGCATCTACTCGACGCTATAACTCGGCTGCTGTTATTGATGCTTGGTAGTTTCCGCGCTGTGGCAAGTTGCGCTCGGTGGCTGGTTCCCTTGGAGGCTGACACACCACTTAGACACAAACGACCGCGCAGTCTTCTACTTATTCGTTCGCTTCTTAGCCACATTTCAATAGAATTCAATGTCCTGGAACGAGAATCAAGCGGTTCTCAAAAGCATCGATGAGGAGACATGAGGAAAAAACGACAGTTCATCAGCTTCCTCGGAGCCAACGGAGGAAGGCCAATTCAGGCTAGTTCGTCTCTACGGGGAAAAAAACAAAAAAAAAAGGAAAACACCATGCGCAGCGTCCAGCTGTGTGTACGCACCATACAACGGCAAATCGTTATATCGATCGTATCGACGAGAGACACGAGGGAGCGCGCGGGAAGCGAACCGAAGGGAAAAAGTCCGAAATCCGAATCGCGAGGGTGTTCGGATTCGCCGGGAGAAGCGACGGTTGTCAACGCGGAGCAGGCCCGCGTCGAGTGTTTCCCCGCGAGACGCATCGACGGCCGCGGAATCTCGCGCGCTCGCTATCGACGTCCCGCGCCGGGCAAGATTGCGCGGGAAAGAAGTTCGATCGTTTCGTAAAAAGGGGCGTTCCACGCACGTCGTTGTGTGCGGGCGCGCGAGCGCGAGCGCGCGCGTGGTGCACACCGTGCCGCGCGACGCGACGCGACGCATACACGCGCGCACACGAGACGCGGGCGTCCACACGGACACACGCGGGACGCGGAGTCGTCGGCGCGGCACGCACACATCGCGAGTCGTATATCGATTTACATGCGGCGCAACGTCCGTGTATTGCGTCTCAGCGATCTCGCCGGGACGGCGAGATTTCTCGCGCCGACCGACGGATGGACGGAGCGAATTGCATTGGCAACACGACGGGGTCTCCTTTACCTTCCGATCGAGAGACAGACAGAGAGAGGGAGAGCACGCGAGGAGAGAGAGAGAGACACTCGCAGGCGGCCGAAGCGGCGCGATGCTCGCTCGCGGCGCAACGCAGCGAAGACGGCAGCGGAGGCGGCGGTGGCAGCTGCGGCTGCGGCTGCGGCGAGACGGCACCTCGACCGTGACAGCTGAAAATCCGCGCGAAAATCGGCCGCCGGCCGCGGCGGGCTGGCCGGACGCCGCGCGTTAACGGCACTCGCGGCTGCTTGGCATGCTTGCGGGTCGCCGGCCGAGACGCTCGCACGCCGGCACAAACGGACGCACGCGGCACGGCTCACACACGCGTTTCATTCAAATCTGCCCGACGACGCCGTCGAGTACGCTTTTCATCCCTCCGAAACTATAACAAACATGGCGACGGCGTCACCCGCGACTCGGTACTCGCGACTCAAGCGCGCCACCGCGACCGGCCGCGGGAGAGCCGCCTGCAGCTGGCGCGCATTGCGCGATGCTCACTTGGCCGCGGGGAGATCGCCGGCGGGACGATCGGCGAGTTTTCCCCCCGGGAGTTGCCGATCTTCGGCCGCTCGATCGTTCTTTTGATCCCTGGGATTTCCGCCTGGTGACGCGCCATCTGTCGCTTCCGGCGCCAACCAGCCCGTGCGTGATGCCCAGCGCTGCCAACATGGCCGCGATTCAACGCTGGTTTTCGCGGTCGTATGCATGATTGCAGGTCTGTTCCTTTTGTGCCCGTTCGTACCAACGATGCTTAAGAATTTCGTCGCTAGTTGACGGTTGAGTAATCCGCTTGAGAAAAGTTGACGCAAATATTGCTTCCTGCCGATAACGCGCAGTTTTATTTAAACGAGCAGTATTGACCGCTTTGTGTCGCTAAACTGTAGTTGGAAGATCTAACCGGCTCATCTGGTACTTGAAAGTTGTGTCACTTGCATCTATTGTGCGATAATATATTGTGCAATGCGGTAAAGTGACAAAAATGTCAGGATACTCGAAATATCCTTAGAATGTGATTCAATATCCTCACGCCTGTTTTTATCGATGATGTTGAAAGATCTCGTCGCTGATAATATCCGATTACGGAAAGCTAATCTAAAAATATTGGTTTTTACTGATAACATAATTCATGTTTAAACGTAAATTTTTATTTAAACAACTGATAATGATCGTTTAATATGGTTAAACTACAGTTAAAAAATGATAATTATTTAGAAAATGGGTCTCACCTTGGATTTCGCTCAAACTCACCTATCTTGTGTCTTTTGACGTGTAGAAGCCGAATCTGCAAGTAAAAATTGCCGTTCGACTCTAGATTGCGAGAAATAAATTGTTAAAAAATGACATATACGAGGTTAGGAAATCTTTCATGCCGGTAATATAGAGACTTATGGTCTATTCTTTTTAGTCGGAAAGTGTAAAATAGTCATGTAAGCGGGGGAGGGGCGAAGCCCTCTCCCCAAAGACATTTTCATATATTAACATATGAAGTTTTAGCTCATATATCAGTGGTTATTACACAACAAAAATAACCACTGATACATGAGCTAAAAATTCATATGTTTAATATATGAAAATGTCTTTGGGGAGAGGGCTTCGCCCCTCCCCCGCTTACATGTACTATTTTACACTTTCCGACTAAAAAGAATAGACCATAAGTCTCTGTATTACCGGCATGACAGATTTCCTAACCTCGCATATGTCATTTTTTAACAATTTATTTCTCGCAAACTAGAGTCGAGCGGCAACTTTTACTTGCAGATTCGGCTTCTACACGTCAAAATACACAAGACAGGTAAGTTTGAGCGAAATCCAAGGTGAGGCCCGTCTTCTAAATAATTACCAAAAATATAACTGGATCGTTTAGTATTTAAAAATTATGTTACATATATTATGTAATAAGTTAATGTAGCAAAGTGACAAATATTCCAGGATACTCGAAATATTCGTAAAATAAAATTTAATATCCTTCAAAATTATTCCATCAATCCATTCATTCTCCATTACATTTTATATTTTAATACCAAATCCGTTAAAGATTGGTTTCTCCATTTCTGGAAGATTTTGGAAATAAGTTAGTTTCTTATTTAATCTTTCTTCGTATATTTTTACTAGTTACGCACTTTTTACCATTACGTAAAAAAACACTTCGATGCCATTCAACTAAAAAACTCATATTCGAAAATAACACAAATTTTTTCATTATCCATGATTATACAAAAATTGCTGCAATAAAGACAGTTCGAAAGATAATTATAAAGCAAAACATGCGATTGAAAAACTCTGGTGTACTTTGCCAACAAAAAAAACCAAGAACTGCAAAGATAAAATGTCAAAGATATCGACTATTGAACTTAGTATTTAAAGAAATTAGATATTTCATATTTAACGACCTAATACATCTCCAATATATTGGGTACTTGAATAAGTTTTCACAATAAGTTTTTTTATGAAACAAAAGACTTGTGTTTCGTGAGAAACAGGAAGAATAGTTTATTCAAAGTAGTTAGCTATAACACTTTCCCATATTGTACGTAATAAATAAATTCCACGATAAAAGAACTCTGGTTTTTTCGCGGCGATCCACTGCTCAAGTCAAGTGTTATCTTCATACAAAGTAAAGTGCTGCTCAGCAAGGTCATGCTGCATGGACCGAAACAAATGGTAATCAGGAGCTAGGTCTGGGGAATGCAGCGGGTGAGGTAACACATCCCAGCCAAGTGTTTTCAATGTATCCTGGACTGGTTTCTCAACATGTGGTCGAGCATTGTCATATAATAAAATCACTTTGTCATGTCTTTCGACATATTCTGGATGTTTGTTTTTCAGTGCTTTGTTCAAATTTAATAATTGTTCTCGGTAACTGTCTACTATCAATAGTCTGATATGGTTGCAGCAGTTCATAATATACCACGCCTTGTTGATCCCACCAAATACACAACATAGCCTTCTGTCTATACATATGCTGTTTTGACGTTAATGAAGGCTGGCCGAACTTGCTCCATGCTTTTGGTCGTTTCAGACTGTCATAGTGGATCCATTTTTCATCTCCAGTAACGATTCGATGGAAAAATGGCTTCCTGTTTTCTCTTTGAAACAACAATTCGCATATGGTTAAACACCTTTCAAGATCTCTTTCTTTCAATTCATGTGGTACCAGTTCCCATGTTCTTGAATCATTTCCATTGCTTTTAATCGTTTGTTAACAGTCGATTGATCAACATTTAATGCCTCTGACAATTCTTTCAGCGTTTGACATGAATTTTCATCAAGTAATGCTTCCAGTTGTTTATCCTTAAATTTTTTCGGTGCACCTTCGCGTTCTTTATCTTTCACATCGAAATCAACATTTTTGAAACGTTGAAACCACTCTCTGCAACTTCTTTGGGATTGAGCATGCTGCCTGTATACCTCTACAAGTAAACGATGACTTTCAGCTGCAGTTTTCTTAACAATAAAATAATGCAGTAAAACTTCCCGCAAATACTGTTTTGTTGGCACAAAAGTCGACATTTTCAATGCAATGACAAAAATAAATGTTTACATGTCCATCAAATGTCATATGCTAAATTTTAAATTTTATGTATAGTACTTGTTACATCTTTTGGAAAACGGCGGAAACTTATTCAAAATACCTATTTACCTGTACATAACTTAAGGTCCTTGCACAATATCAAGCAACAGGCAATAGAAATAAAGCCAGCGGCACACGGTGCTTGTTTTCGAGCTGGAATGCTTGCTGGATGAAAATACTGCGTTGTGATTGGTACATTTCCGAAGATGGATGGAAATGCACCAATCAGAACGCAGTATTTTCATTCAGCAAGCAATCCAGCACGAAAACAAGCATCGTGTGCCGCTGGCTTTAGGAATAGGAATAAAGAATTCCAACATATCAGAAACTGTATATCAATACAGAATAAAGCATGACACAAGCAACAGACACAGAATTTCTGTCACCTTGAAAATTCTATTCCTATTGCCTGTTGCCAACTGATCACAGCATTTGGATTGTTGAGGTTAAATTTATAAATTGCAGTGTACACTCAGAGACAGGTTCCCTCGGCGATGTCGTATACGCCTTTAAAACAATAGAAAGCGATAACAGGCATATACGCATACGTATATGGACGTACTGTACGTACAGCGCGAGAGGAGCGAAAAAGAAGTGGTGAGAGACGTTCCGATGTTGCATCTTTATCGCACGTCGCACGATCGAGAGAAAAAGCATTACCAGATGGTTAATGGTGTCCCCAATAGCTGTCTCACTCACTCTGTAAATTTTTTTTTTCTTTTTTACATATTATTGATTTACTTTGTTCATACACACACACACACACACACACACACAGCAAAAGCTTTAAAATATATCAATATTTAACTTGCAGCATGAATCTAAAGTATAGAAAATCTTAGAACTATGTTATTTTTGGATTATGTCGATGCCGATAATTTCTTATTCTTTATTTCTATTGCCTGTTCCTATTGCCTGTTACCTGGCATTGTGCAAGGATCTTTATCCCCCCTATTACCTGTTCGCCGGTCACTTCCCGCCAAAACATATCATATGTATTATGGAATTCTTTTAAATCTCATCGCGCATGCGCGTCTCCTATATTGCAACGCTGCGGACGGTTGCGGCCAAGACGCGCCAACGCTGCCACGTAGAGGAAGTTAGTGAGGAATACCGCAGTAACCAATCAACGCCCCGCATGCCGCATGTTTCATAAACACCTTTTTCGGGTAAGCAAGATGCCGAATGGCTGCTGTAGTATTCCCTAGCTAATTCTGTCCTGCGCATGCGTGCTGCGTCCTGAATGCGCCCGTTGATTCGTGCGACAGTTTTATAGCGATCGCTCCCCGCCCTTTTTCGGCAGCCATTCTGTGACATACCGTTTCCCGCCAGAAATGTTGCTATATCAGATGACGCCGTTGGCGGTAACGTATTTCAAGTTCATTTCAGTCGTGTCCGGAATCAGCGGCGGTACGTAAGTTATTTCAGTCCAACTGCGCTCGCACGTTTCTTATACGTTTTGTCCGTCTATTTGTGTAACAATGTATATCAAAGTGAGGACGATTGATGGAAAAGGCGAAGCAATTATAATGATCTCCAAGCTCACTGAAGTGGAGGATTTAAAGGTAACGTTATTAACAGCTGTTCGATAGTTTGGCAAGATTATTAAAGCGATTCGTTCGATCTCAGTGGTAAAAAATATTCTCGCACTCTTTGGACTCTACTGTATCTATCGTATAAATGCGCCCAATATCATATTAATCTAATTTGTTAATTGGTCGAACATGTGAAGTGTGTATATAATTTTTAAATTTTTCAGCGCGAGATTAAAAAAGAACTGAATATTGAGACTGACTTACAGAGATTATTTTTCCGCGGTAAACAATTAGAAAATGGCTACAAGCTATATGACTATAATGTTAATCTGAATGATGTAATACAATTGATGGTGAGACTAGAATGTAGAAACGATGTAGAAAACAAGGCTACCTCTAGTAACAATTATAGTGTAAACAATAGCGATTTAAATAAAAGTATAGAGGATAAAGAAGTGGAAGATATTGAACTGATAGAAGCGGAAAGTTTATATTATAAAATTGGAGATGCGGTGGATTGTCTTGACCAAATACATGGTGCCTGGTTTGAAGCTATTATAAAAAAGATTTTCAAACAAGGCACAAAATTAATATATAATGTACAATGGGAATTTGAAAGTCATGGCATTCCTTTTAATGTACCTGAAATATCTATACGGCCACGTGCCAGATATCTTATACCATTTGATGATTTATTTGTTGGCCAAAAAGTAATGATTAATTATAACGTGGACGAGCCCAAAGAAACTGGGTTATGGTATGACTTAACAATATCCAAATTGGAAAAAAAGAGGAAGCTAGAAGAATTAACTGGAGTATTACATATAGGCAGGCAAGTATATTTTCCATCTGTTTTGTAACATGTAAAAATTGTGCATCATCTCTGTTTTCCTTCCATAGTGATAATGAATTAGCGGATCGGAAGGTTAATCCCAGAGGAGAAATATACGCAATAGAATCACCTAAGTTATTAACAGAGCGATCGACTGAAGATGAGAAATTCATGGTTAGCAGTGGAAAACGCAGGCGTATTGCAGCCACATGTACTTCGTGTATGGATAATCCTCGTAGAAAATGTCGAGAATGTGGTTGTAAGGTTTGTGCAAGTAAAGAGGAGGAACATAACCTCCTGCTTTGTGATGAATGCGATTCTGCTTATCATCTTGGATGCCTAGTCCCACCACTCACGAAAATCCCAGAAGAAGATTATTGGTACTGTCCCGAGTGTAAAAATGATGAGAATGAAATTGTTAAGGTATGCATATATAATTAAAAGAACTTGGTTTCTATCATTGTTGCTGCAATTTTTACTTTTTGTTTTGCTACAGGCAGGAGATAAATTGAAGACGTCAAAGAAAAAACTGGTTGCCCAAGATAAGGAAGACAAGCCCCAGAGGGATTGGGGTAAAGGAATGGCCTGTGTTGGAAGAACAAAAGAATGTAGCCTTGTGCGTCCAAATCATCGTGGTCCAATTCCAGGTGTTGAAGTTGGCACATGTTGGATGTTTAGAGTACAGGTAAATGAGAGCCTTCTGCAATTTTTTAAACTATTTTGACGAAATGACTTGATACATCTATATTAATTAAATAATACGGTGTAAAATTTTTTCAGGTCTCTGAAAGTGGAGTGCACAGACCTCACATAGCTGGCATACATGGACGAGAAACAGACTGTGCATATTCTCTTGTTTTGTCGGGTGGTTATGAAGATGATATCGATAATGGTGATGATTTTATCTACACTGGCTCTGGTGGCAGAGACTTGTCTGGTAATGTATTTTTAGTTTACTATTCTATTATTGCTATATTACAGTTTTAAGCTAATGTGTTTTAAATTACTGTTATTAAATAAAAGTTTGAAAGACTTTAATAAGACTTTAATAAGTTTGAAAGAATTAAATAAAAATAAATATAATTAAATAAATTGAAAAATTGATCACAAGATAAATCTTGTAAATAATAAAATAAGATAACTATATCATATTAGGTTATAATACAGTTATAACTGAAATATTTGTGTTTATAATATATTTATATTTATCTTACCATTAGGTAACAAACGAACTGCTGGTCAAAGTTGTGACCAAACGTTAACCAGAATGAATAAGGCGCTTGCTATAAACTGTAATGCCAAATTGAACGCAACAGAAGGCGCCACGGCACAAAACTGGAAAAAGGGGATACCCGTTCGAGTGGTGCGCAATTTTAAACTAGCGAAATATAGTAAATATGCGCCACGGGAAGGCAACAGGTATACCAAATGTTCTATACATTTTATTAAATATACATCTTCATTAGAGTAGTACGTATTTATTGTTTGACAATTTTACAATTATTGCAGATACGACGGTATATATAAAGTAGTAAGATATTACCCGGATACAGGCAAGAGCGGTTTTCGCGTATGGAAGTACGTATTAAGAAGAGACGATTCCGCTCCTGCACCTTGGACCGAAGAGGGTAAAAATAGGATCGCTTCTCTCGGTTTAAAACTTTTGTATCCTGATGGATATCTAGAGGCTATGAAAAAAACCTCAAGTAATAAGAAACGGCCGGCTCTAGATGATCTAGAAGATATCGCGACTTCAAAGCAAGATAAAAGTCGCCTTAAGAAGCTTAAACAGGAGAGTTACAAGATTGAAAACAAGTTGATTAATTTCATAAAGGAAGATTTAGCAAACACTAAATTATGGGATGAATGTTGCGCAGTTACATCGGACGGCAAATCCATATTCCTGAATTATGTTATGGACAGGTAATTCTGTGTACAATTAAGTAACTTATATTTTCAGACTGTCTTAAACAGATATTTTTTTATGAAACGTATATCGCATCATAAAACTACGAAAAACCTCATCGTCATAATTTCATCTTTCCTTATTACAATTCATCATTTTTATATTTTGCAGATTCACATGCACTTGTTGCTTGGAATTGGTTTGCAATCCTGTAACGACTCCATGTGCTCACAATATATGTTTAAGCTGCTTAAAACGCAGTTTTTCTTCCGGCACACACTCTTGTCCTTCATGCAGACACAAGTTGGACAAAAATTATAAAATGGAAATTAATCAACCGTTATCAAATGCTCTTTTACTACTTTATCCTGGTTACAATAGTGGAAGATAACATCAACTCTTTCACACGGTAACTCAAAAATCAATAAAATACAAAAAATACAAAAAACGCAAAAAATGCAAAACCCCCCGAATTAAATTATATATTTAAATTATAAAGGAAAACTTTATACGTCAAATTACTAAATTATTTACTTTTGCTCAGGAAATTTTAATCATTTAGAAATACCGATATAATTTGTCCAATCACACACACACACACTAAAGTTAAACAATTGAGCTTTTTTAATATACATTCCTTTATTGTCGTTCTTGCCGGCATGAATTAGACAAAAAGTATAAAACGCAAGTTAAATTGTTATATTATTATTGTTATAAATATAAAATATGACAAATATTGTTGATATTGTAAAATCAGATCATAGAATTATTTGAATTCCATTTATTCAGATCAAGAAGGAATTATTCAGATCAAGAGTTACATTATTTTTTTTTACATTGTAAAAATTTCTGTGGACACAAGTAGATGTATATCTACTTTGACAAAATAACTAACGGAATCAATTTCAATTTAATAAGATTGTTCATGCTTTTTCAATGAACACCTTTTAAACGAATAAAAGAATATAATTGCAGTATGTATTTTATTACAATAATTTCTGTGTATTAATGTTGAATTTATGCTATCAATAAATTCAATTTATAAATATTTCTTACCTTTAAGAAAGGTAACAAATATTTTTTATCCATTATGTATCTGTCTGTGCAATTATTGTTTTTTAATATTGTCATTTTTTTCAAAAATTTCATATCCTTAAAAAAATATTTTAACATTTCCAAAAATATGACCAAGTATAAAAAATATGTGAATATATTGGGTTGGTGCATAATTTCATAGTGCTTATTTTCTGATCAAAGTTCAACCTTCTGATGGAATTTTGTCCAAAGAAAAGGAATTTTGTTTTACATATCACATTAATATTTCAGAATAAGACTGGAACTTAAAATGATGATAAAATATTATAAGGATTTAATTTTAATATAAATAAAAACATAATGTTATAAATACATTATAAAAATTATCTTAAATTCTTGTTCAGAGTAAGATTAAGACTTTAAAATAATATATATAAAACATAAAAATTCCCTTTTTTTCTTGTATAAACTTCCGTCGGAAAATAAAGGCTACGAAATTATACACCAATCCGATATATAGTTTATGTAAAAAGTATTTGCTACATAAAATTATTGTGCCTTACTCTATGTGTGGAATTAAGCAGTTACACAATATTCCACATTATTGTTAAAAAATGTTAACAATATATATAATACAAATAAATTTTAATTGATTGATACCATTTAACACACATACACACACACATATTCTTGGTAATCAGTATTTATTTATATACATAAATGGAAAATATTTTTAATAGCAAATACATATCATATAACTAACATACACAATTACGGCATGTTACACAGATTTCCCCCCCCATATATGGGCTATTACATACTTATGTTACATAATTATATCTATTTTATCACTTTTTGTTATTTATTCCGATTCTAGTAGATTTACATATTTGAGAAATAATAAGATGACTATCTTCATAAATCAATAATTATTTAATGATTAGTTATCTTTTGCATCCAGAGTTTCCTGAATGTCACTAATTGATGGTACTACTTCACCAATCCATTTTAGATACTGGCTATTCCCATTCTGTATCTGGAATAAAATTAAAAAAATGTTAATATATATTTCTTTCTTTCTCTTGACTTGTAATTTTGCATTTGTATAACGTGATAAATGTTTAGCTTTAGATGCGATAACTTACAGGTAGTGAAATGACTTCGCAAACTGTATATGGATGATTCTCTCTGTATGAAAAATTAAACATTGTGAATTAATATAGTTTAACATGAAATACATAACATAAGATATGAATGTGACTTACTTTACATATTTTGTTAAAGCATCCACTGTCTCTGTTCTAGTTTTAATCATCTGTAATGTACAAATAAACAAGTACAATCACTCACATATTATTTGATAGAAATTTTAATCAATTGATTTCCTACCAGTAGAAGTTCAGAATCCTCTTCAATCTTTCCTTTCCATTCGTATCTATAGAGGAATATTTTCTAAATTAGAGGTATATTAGATAAAAGTAGTAATATATATATTCTTAGTTTCTTTTTCCTAAATATAAAATATCATAGATAACGAATGAAGGTGACCTACATAGAAGTAAGCTGTGGAATGATATTGACACAGGCAGCAAGTTTATTCTCAACCAGGCCACTTTATGAAAAAGAAAAAGCATTAAAATTATCACATTAATACAATAAAATGGTATATGATCCAAATTGATTTTGCTGTATGTTATATTAAGAGGATGTAAAATAAAAGATTGCTATATGATATATTAAAAGAACGTAAAATAGAAGATTTAAGCAAAGTCAATTTCGAGTAGAAAAAAGATAAATAGATAAACGGTATCTCATCAAGACACAATATCATCTAAACATGGTCAAATCATAGGTACATGTGTTTGTTTACCGAGCTATTTTTTTCGCTATTGTGTCGGTCGGCACTGTGACATACGATATGGAATACATTCCTGCGACGTTGGACATATTCCGAGAAACCTGGGCACAGATAACTCTTGTCAAGCACAAAAGCATGAACACTTTTACAAACGAAGCACGTGTCATCGATATCATCTGCAATGTTTCGTCGCGGGATGCCGGTATTTATAATCAATTTTAAGCACAGCCAGATGCAGTCCGGCTTGGTCCGGCTAGTGGTGGAAACTGGAAAGTTGCTTGAGATTGAATGCGCATGCGTGACACTCTGCTGTTGTAACATGCAAGACGAGTGTATAAAGCGGAGGATGCCGTTTTATTCCTATTTATAAATATATATTTCCAAAAAATTAAAAAGAAATATAAATGTAACGTAAAATATACGCAATTTAAAGATTTATGTTAAAAGGTCTTCGAAACAACATTCATCGATCTCAGTACATTTTTACATACGAAAAAACAAAGAATTTGTTTTCAGTTTTTTCGTATCACCAAACATAACAGAAATATCTTGGATAGTCAAGTAAACAAAATTCTCTCTGTGTATAGTATGTATTATTCCAGTGCGTTTACTTATTATACTTTAACTCACAGCTCGGCAATAAGGTACTATTGTTGACGCGTTTTTTTTTAAGTGGTATCCCCAGTAAGCCTCTTCATTTTTCAAAAATGAAGTTTATAAAAAATGAGAAGTGTTCTTCTTTAAGCGACGATTCCTTACCACGTCTTATGCGGTTCGCTACATGCAATATCCAAATTGACGTTTCCACTCTTACCAATAAAAGACGCCGAAAATCGAATTGAATATTCTTCATTTAACATATTTTATTTCGCTTCTGCTCAATTAGTTGTTACAGTCATCAGTGGATTAGGCTTACTGAGGACACCACTTAAAAAAAATGCGTCAACAATAGTACCTCATGGGTGACGTGAAAACTATTGGAAACACGCTTCTGAGGCTCGAGCGGCGAGGTAAAGGGAATAGCGGTGGGCGGAGATAATCGAAAATCGGCCGTCGCGTGCACATTTTGTCGAGCTCTGCTTTAACCTATACTTCACCATTTGTGTATATGTATGTATGTGTGTATGTCTATCGGTTGCATTTCGTCTAAAATAAATGCATATATTTATTACAATTTAATTCTCGACTCCTACATTTAATCAGCTATAGCACCTATTCAAATTTAATTCCCCCCTCTCTCCCGCTGTTTTAAAGCATCACCTTTAAAGGCTCGTCTACAATAGCTGTAAGAGTAAGGCTGTAAGGCTGTAACGTAAGCTGTCAGCGAATGAAAATATTTCATTTCGTGTCTTGCAACCTTACAGCCTTACTCTTACAGCTAATGTAGACGAGCCTTAAGGATTCACACCTGCAGGTCCTCCTTAACAGTTAATTTATCAATGTGATCTTTTCTCATAACCTTATTGGATAATTTTGCACGAACGAGTCAAAAATAGACTCCGGTCTAAATTATAATTCACAACCTAACCGGCGAGCTACTTTTGATTGATGGTTTGAAGCACTCTGATTGGTAGGTCCAACATCCAATCGTAACCTCAATTTCAATCAAGTTCACAACCTATAGTGGGATACGGCCTTTAAATCAAACTAAACAAAAAAATGTCCTCTAGACACACATATAAGAAACCGTGTAACAGTCTAAGTTTTTACTACAGAGTTTTTATTACATTTAATTGCGCACGATTATCCTCTTCAGTTAATAATACAGAATTTTACGTGCTTTCTTGCCAAATGAGAACATTTCTCGTTTACTTTTTTTGCAAATCTTCTTTAATCGATAATTCAAAAATTTACGTGGCTGTCGCAAAATATAGTAGAGGACTTCTTTTCTTCAGTTGAAGCTAATCTGCACGTGCACGTGTCATTTTCGTGTTATCTTGTCAGACACCCTGTATAAAATCCGGCTTATGTGAGATAGGTTATTGCACCGCTTATCAGATTAACAATTTTGGCAGAAAGTTTCAAAAAGCAGCAAGATCAAATTTTGCGCGACGTATCGCGGCGGTGCGAAAATCTATTTTCGAGTATACCCATCTCTTTCTTCTGATGCAACGATGCTCAATTTACACGTCGATTGATTTCAAATGGGCCAACGAGGCGAATTCGTTCCTAGAAAAATATAAACAGATATAAATTATAGCAACCGTCAAATACAAATCGCGCAATCAGGTTAACGCACGTATTCGTGAGCAACGCACGATTAAAAGCTCATCTCCATCGCGATCGTGGGATCTCGTTCCAACCCTGACTTGAATTCTCGATGGCGAAGTAGCTGAATTATTCGCCTCACTTGAATTAATCGTCTCCGATTAATTCCGCCCTCCCCTTTGAATTTGAACATTTGATTTTCTCATCTCAGGGAGAAGCGAAATCATTTCGGTCGCGAACAACGCGAACAGCCTTCTCTCCTCTTTCTTCCGAAAACTTTCTCAACTGGAAACCAAATCTGCACCTGTCTCGCTCCGACTCATCGCACCAGTTGAGTAAGTTCTTCGAACAAGAATAAACTTCCTTTTTCGGCGAAATAAAAATGTCAGGCGCGGAACATCAATAAAGTATACACACATGCGGTCAAGTCTCTCCCTCTCACTCTCTCTCCCTCCCCCTCACTCCTAACCGCCGCACCATCGACATCCACACGCACACGTAGCGTCATTCATCGCGGGGGCATAGGTAACCTTGAAAAGCCCACCCTCGAAGCGCTACTACTTTCGTCCGCCAAGTCCGCCGGAGTTTGCTTCAGTTTCCAGCCGTGGTGTCGCGCCGCGACGATCGCGATCGCGACGAGTCGGTGATCGAGAGCGAAGAGGCTGCTTCCGAGACGTTCAGAGTCACGGTGCAAAGTCGGCCGGGTCGTCCTAACGATTTTCCGCGGCATGATAAGAGACTCGACTGCGAAAGAGACCACGGGATGCACCGCTGAGTATCGTCGAAGTGTCACTTGGTGAGGAGATCGCGGGAGCATCGCCGTCGGGCCGACGTTGACTGAGTAAGTGATCGCGCGCGCGTGAACTCGTGCGGCGGTTTATAGGTTATACGCGGCGGCCGCTGAGACGCTCTCCTCCGGCGCGTAGGGAGAATGTCGTCTGCGGGGAATTGACTGGCGAATGCCGCCACCGTTGTCGTCACTCGCGATAGTTACCGGTGCTACAGCAGCATGGTGCAACGCGCGGTCGCGCCCCGGCGCAACGTCCGGATACTGTTGATCGGTGAGCGCGGCGTCGGCAAGACCTCGCTGATCCTGTCGCTGGTGAGCGAGGAGTATGCCGAGGATGTGCCCAGCAAGGCCGAGGAAATCACGATACCGGCGGACGTCACGCCGGAGCAGGTGCCGACGCATATAGTCGATTACTCAGGTACGTGGCCTCCGCAGTCTCCAACAGGGTAGCTCTGGAGACGTGACGGTGAGTGCCGGCTGTAGTAACGGTAACGTGAGGTTGATGTGATATGCGCCGGGGCTGTTTGGGACGTTTTGAGTCACATCAACTAGCTTCCTATAGTTGTAGCGAGCGATATTTCTCTGTAATTTGGTGCTTAACCAGCAGATATCCTTTGTCACGTTCTTTCCCCAAGTATCATCAGCTTGATAATTGCAGCGGCTGAACAAACAGATGATCAATTGGCGGAGGAGATTCAAAAGGCCCATGTGATATGCGTGGTCTATTCCGTGGATGATGAGGACACTTTGGACAGAGCCGCCAGCTATTGGTTACCGTTAATCAGAAGATGCTCGCCTGACAATCGGTGTCCAGTTGTGCTTGTAGGCAATAAGATTGACCTTGTGGATTATTCCACGATTGAGGTAGGTAAGCCTGAGGAGAGGAAAATTTGAAATTCTATTTCGTGTCCTCAATGATAACCTCTTTTTATTTTCAGGCGGTGTATCCCATCATGAAGGAGTTTACAGAAATCGAAAGTTGCATAGAGGTGAGTCTGTACAGTTCAACTGCTGAAAGAAAGAGGAAAGCTCAAAAGGAAGATTATCTAAAGAACATTTTTTTGTTCTCAGTGCTCAGCAAAGACGCTTCAAAATGTTTCCGAGACATTCTATTATGCACAAAAGGCGGTTTTGCATCCTACCACACCTTTGTATAATTATGACACACAAGAGGTAGCGTTTAGCACTTCTCCTCTAATAACCTCTACTTAGGTAAGCGACATGTTCTTAAACAATATTTCCTGTTTCCAGCTCACAGGAGAATGCAAAACTGCCTTACAGCGGATTTTTAAAGTGAGTGTACATCGCAGATGTTAGCATACTACTTTTACTTTCTTTGCTCGTACTTGTTCTATGCTCTGCTACATTGTCGTCTTTTTCCCACTGCAGATATGCGATTTAGATAACGATGGGCTCCTCAATGATATGGAGCTGAACGCGTTCCAGCAATGGTGCTTCAACACGCCGTTGCAGCCGCAGGTGTTGGAGGACGTGAAAGCTGTGCTATCGAAAAACATTTGCGACGGCATCTGTAACGGATGTGTCACCATGAAGGGTACGTTGTGCCGGTATGCGCAACCCACCGAAACGCGAAAAAGAAGTCTCGTTCTAACGCGAACAACAATTACAATTTCTCAATCGTTCTTGCGCAGGGTTCATGTACTTGCAATGTTTATTCATACAACGCGGGAGGAACGAGACGACCTGGGCTGTGTTAAGAAAATTCGGATACGACAATGAATTGCAAATGTCGAAGGAATACATTCACCCTCCGTACGTATGAGAGCCACGTTTTGAGGACCGCTACTGATTCCCGATTACCTTACTCGACGATTCCGATTCCGTAGATTGAAGGTGCCGTCTGGCTGCACCACCGAATTATCGCACAGAGGCCAGGAATTCCTGACGCTGCTGTTTATGCAGCACGATCGTGATCGCGACGGTGCTCTGTCGCCCATAGAAATGGAGTCGCTGTTCTCGCGATGTCACGTTCCACCGTGGGGGGAAGAGTACAAGCACACCGTACCTACGAACGAGAAGGTTTACCCTCACATTCTTGTTGTTCTTAGACCGCGTACATTTGCATTAGCACAAGTCCGGATGACAATCATAATCCAGTCGACAGGGAACCGGTATGATTGCTCCCGAGTACCGGTAGAGTGTCGAATGGAAATAGAATTAAACACAGTCAATTCATAGTCAGGTCTTATAATTAACCCTTTGTGTGGTAGTTATTTTTTCTATTCAACGGATTTCTGTGAAATCTCACATTTCACTTAAATATTTTGGCTTGCTGATTGCAAATCTAAAGTAAGATTGTAAAAATTCAAAATAACAGACCCAATATGGCTGCCATATAGGGTAGTAAATGAGAGTAAGTCTGAATAAATATAAATCAGATATATGATGTGAAAATTTTTCAGATCGTCAATTATCAGTTTCATCAGATTTATGAAATTCATTCAAATAATTTGTTTATAATAAAAATATAGAGTGCAAAAATTTCTGGAAAAAGTATGTATTATATTTTGACATGTGAAGAATATATTTAGTAAAATTTTCAGCTTCTGATCTTAAATACTTTCAAAGAAATTAAAATTTTTTAGAAATTTGATCTTTCTCGGATCGCTGGTTACAAATCTGGAACCAAATTTCAAAAGTTCAAAATAGCAAACTCAATATGACTGCCATGTAGGGCAATAAATTAGTGTAAGTCTGAAAAATGTAAGTCAGATGAACAATGTGAAGGTTTTTCAGATCGTTAATTACGAATTTCATATTAGATTTATAAAACTCATTCAAGTAATTTGTTTATAAAAAAATCTATAGTGCAAAAACTTCTGGAAAAAATATGTATTATATTTTGACATATGAAGAATATTCGGGCGCTAAAATTTTTAACCTTTAATTTTAAATTTCTCCAAGAAATTGAATTTCTTTTAAAGCGCTTTTCAATTTTATTTGTTCATAAATAATTAAAAATGAATAATCGGATATAAAAACCATGGAAAATATGTAAGCAAGTGTTGGTACATTAGAAAAATGTGAGGTCATATTTATTGTCATTAAACTGTAAACAGTGAAAATTGTTAAAGTGAAAGAGAAGAAAGTAATAAGTAATCACTGCCACACAAAGGACTAAGACAGTTTTAAGCTTATCTCCAAATAATTTATCTAGAAATTAGTTGATCTGTGTATATCATTTTTTGGCCGAGAAAGTCGTCCAAAGATAAACTTGAGGCAATCGTACATACAAGATCTGAACAAGGTCTAAAGATGTGAGTACTGGAAGACAAGATTGAAAAGGAACGCGTTAGGTCCCAATAAACCAAATGCTGGTAGTGCGCTGGCGGATTGGCAGCAGACTTGATCAGAATCTATAGTGGTCCATCTGCGCATTAAGCGATAAAGTCTGCTGACGTAACTTGACGGCACATTGATGACGGAAACCGAACAGGGTTTGCAGCATGTTGTATTTGAATACATTTAAAAGGATATGGAATAGATCCTGCTGAGTTTCTGCCGTCAATCTGTCATACTCTGCTAGCAAGTCTTCTGTTAACAAGTTCTGCTTAAAAAAAACCTTGCTTAAAAAGAAATTTAATTTCTTGGAAAGTATTTAATATTAGAGGCTGAAAATTTCCCTAAAACTATTTTACTATCTTCTTCAAAATTTTATAAAGAAAGTAATGGAAAATAATGACTTGCTCTTCAGTAACATCTATTTTAAAACGTAACTTTAAAATAAACGCAATCACCATCCCGCTATTATGGATCGGAAATTGAATTCGGTGCAAAACTAGAGTAGAAAACCAAAACGAAACTCGTCTCGTCATGATATGTGATGCATTAATCTGTTTAATTTAAGGGTTGGATCACGTTCCAAGGGTACATGTGCCAATGGGCGCTACTGACACTGACGAACGTGCGCAAAACCCTGGAATACATGGCGTACCTGGGCTACAATATGTACAATAACGAATGTCAGACGAGCGCGGTGATTGTGACCCGCGAGAAGAAGGTAGATCTGGCCAAGAAGCAATCTAGCAGAAACGTTTATACCTGTCACGTGATCGGCCAAAAGAGCAGCGGGAAAACTACACTCTGTAGGACTTTCATCGACCCGAAACTCGAGGTAAGGCGTTTGTTGTTCCCTCTTGAGATGTCAAAACAGTTGCTGAAGGATCAACCCCGATCTTTCACGACCTCGCGTCCTCCTCTGCATCCTCACGATTGTTGTAGAAGTTGAACAACCAGTCGGTGCCGCCGAATGCTCACGTCACCGTGAACACTTTGCACGTGTACGGCCAGGAGAAGATGATAGTGTTGAAGGATATAAACGTGCTGAACGTCCAAGATGCGCTAACTCCAGCGGAGATCCAGTGCGACGCAGCTGCTCTCGTCTACGACGCCAGTAATCCAAAATCCTTCGAGTACATAGCGCGTATTTACATCGTAAGTACCATCTCGCAGGATCCATTAGTTTTTCTTAAATATTTCAAAAAAATATTAGGCAAATAAAAAAATTTCCAGACAAAAGTTTGTAAAATTAATCGGTAGAAGATGATACAACAAAAAATTGGAGTTTCCATCTAAGAAAAGTCTAACGATTAGTGAATATCTCGAAAGTGACGCCATCTGTGAACAAAATGATACAGTTATTTTGTCCCCCTTGAAACCATGCAACTTTTGTCTGAAATATTTTTTTTTAAACGCTTGATTTTTTAGATATTTCCTCGTCCCGATACTTTTTATACACTCTGTATAAAATCTTCGTGTAGAAAAAATATGGGAAAAGTTGCATGATTGGGCTTATTTGGACGATCGTGTTTACGTTATTAACGTCTTCAAAGTTCGCCATTCTCTTCGGGAAACAGATTTTTAATTATACGAATGACAATTTTAGCATCTGGCTCTTGCTTGCTTCCGCATTTGTTTATCTCATTATAGAGAGAGCCAGTTTATTAAAAATTTCCACAAGTATTTGTGTCATCAGTAACATCAATGATGCTGTCACAACTGCCTGACGCCGTCATTGATTATGGTTTTGATGACATGATCATTGACGTCGTTGATCAATTCCTCAAAATGAGTGTCAAACCTTAAATATTTATTAATAATAATAATATACGGATCTGATGCCTTTGGTGTACAAGATTGATACACTAGTATACGAGTAAGAAAATTTTCATACAATAAAAAGTGAAAGAAAATAATAAAAAAGAAAAAAAAAAGAAAAAGGAAGAAAGAAAGAAAAAAAAGAAAAGAAAAAAAAACAATAAGAGAAAAAAGAGAAAAAATTTTCCTTTTATCTTATTATCTTCTTATATTCTTCTTCTTACTGTCCTCTTTATATTAAATTCTTTGTACAAAATACTAACGATAATATTTCACATGTCTCTTCGCGCCTTTGCAGAAATATTTCGCCGACAGCAAGATTCCAGTCCTGATAATAGCAAACAAAAGTGACCTTTCGGAGGTAAAGCAGTGTTATCTGTTGCAACCGGCCAGCTTCTGCAGCAGGTATAAGCTAATGCCGCCGCAGCCGTACAGCATCTCCCGCACAGTTCGACGTGAGATCTTCGTAAAGCTCGCTACAATGGCGGCTTTCCCGTAAGTTTCGCTCGCTTGCCGGGGACATTGACAAAGACATAACGCTAGAAGGAGGGAGATCTCAGGCTTGACGCGATTTGCAGACGGTAGACGGTGTTTCTCCGTAGCGATAGCTGATACGTCTGAAAGTACCGATTACTTCGAGACTCCTGAAGCTTCTTTGCTTGTTTACTTCTTTTTTTACGCGATATTCTCCACCGCGCGGTTACGTTCAAGCAAGAGGTTTGCGTTTCTCGCCGCACGTCTTTCCAGATCTTCCCCGTTTTTCTTTCGTCGTACTTTAGTTTAAGGACAAAACCTTATGACTGATAAGACGAGAGAGAAAAGAAAAAAAAGAAAAAATGAAACATGAGGAGATAATTCGGTACTAACGGAAAGGTATTTCGTGTTTAGCCGCTTTCAAGGAGCGTGGGTATTATTTTACCGAGACAGGTTGGTCTGAATTTCAATCTCACACTGTAAAAGTCTAGAGGCTTGAGCAAATCGTGAATCTCTCTGCATTCAGTCGTCATCGTACATTCCTCTCTCGATGCATGCGTTCACCGGTGTTTAACTTCATCTTCTCATTCTGTATGTGCCGGGCGATTTGCTCATATACATACTTTAGAAAATGTCGCACGGATAATACTACTCGTAACAACGTCTTGGCTCTTTTCAGCCGTTTGAGGCGTATGGTCCACATGTTGCTTGTCGAACCCTCACCCTCTCAGTGGTGGAGTTCTTTTACAAGGTTTCATTTCGTATTATTGCTCGTGTTTTTACTCCTCCCCTTCGTCCCGCCCACCGTCCTCTCTTCCCTACAATCACGTGTGTCTCACAGCTTGATACATCCACATACTGGAGAAGAAAGGACCGATGTGTGTCGTGCCTGAACATTCCCCAGGCACAACCGTAGGCTGCTTCTGGTTTTCCGCAGTGAAGTATCCATTAACACGCTGATCACCATAATGAACAAAGAGGATCGCTCCCGACGCCATTTTAAAATTAGCGCATTGCTACAATGTGCTAATTCTCCCGCTTATTTCATCATCCCAGTCGCAGTCGCAACATTTTCAAACTGCTTCTAATCTCATCTAATTCCTCCATCCGCTTGTACTTCTCTTCCTTGTTTGTCCTTAACTTCCTGTCTCTTTCTCTCCAAAACTTGCTTTTACTCCATCTAACTTCTTATATACCGTATTTCTTCTTCATATCCCCTCCTAACTTATTAACCATCCTCTTGTTTCTTCTAAATTTTCATCTCTTCATTCAAAAGGACATTATAGTCCAGTGCGCTCAGAAATAAGGTAAATTTAGGAATTTTTTTTTTTAGAAAACTATAACTCCGATTAAATTGAAATTTTAGGGGAAGTTTTACACATATTTAATGAAGAAATATAAATTTTTACAAGGCATTTAATTTAGATTTGGCTGAGTTATGCGCCATTTCGCACGAAGCATTGCGTGTTGTCACTTGACTTGTCCTTGACATCCTAGTGCCCGTTTGAATGATCTGAAGCATAAATGTAAAGCACTTTTCTTTTTTAATATCAATATCTCTTTAGCGTGAACCTCAATCCGGATGATAAAAATATACTTTTAAATTAAAAAAAAAATTTGGTTTAAAAAAGAATTCGATTTTTTTACATTTCGCTAAAAAATGTAGTTTGTTATTAACTTTTTATTGGTTTCATAAGTTCACTCCAAAGATGTAACTGTTATGTTAAATTATCTAAAAGCTAAAGCCGATTCGATTAGAAATGTTTGAGTTCTGACGTCAATCAACTTGTAAAACATGGTTTCGAGAAAAACGCATTTAAAGTTTTGGTTACTATTTTTTCGTACTTATAATATATTTCTGGCTAATCTCTGCTATTCCTGGCCCATAGAACAACCTTTCTGATTCCTCGTAAAAATCATGTAATTTCTCTACATTACTTTGGCTGGCCACTTCTTTTGTAGCATCAGCACTCTTGATTTCCACAATGTATATGAATCGCTGTTTATCCGCGTAATCAGCGTAATCAAATAACTTACATTGCTGATCAATAACTATTCTCCCATCGTTTCCATAACTTTTAGAATGTAATGTAACCCTCGTTGAACACTCCTGCAGCCAAATATGCACGAGATTCATGAAAAAACTGAGTTCGAACAACCATTAGAGATTACATTCTTGCTTTCAGAAAATCGAAAAAAATTTTTTTAGATATTTTTATAGCACAACATAGCAAGCGGGAATTTTTTGTGGCCAAAGAAACAAAGTAAACATAAACAAAGAAATATATATAGTGGTTTTTATATATGTGTGTATATAAAGGCCACTGTACATATTTGTTTGTTTGTTTATTTTGTTTCTTCGACCACAAAAAATTCCCACTTGCTATGTTGTATTATAAAAATATGTAAAAAAATTTTTTCGATTTTCTGAAAGTTCTGGACCTCGTAATGTCCCCTTAATTACCCCTCCCTCGCATCCATTTACCTATTCCTAACTTATCCAAGTTTTTCTTCCTTAAATACCTCGAACCACCTCCTTCTATCTTCATTTCTTTATATTATAATTTGCACTCGAAATTCTGCTTTCTTCCTCTGTATATCTCTTTCTCTTTCTATTATTTCTGCTTTCAAGTTCAGCTCACTATTCCTCACCCATTCCTGTTATAGAATTTTACCCTCTCATTTCTAAAGAAATCGCACCAATTCCTTTCTCTTTTTCTCCCCAACACCTTGCCTCCTTAAGATGAGCTCTTTAAGATCGCGTGCTCATATGAACCCATAAAGCGACTCATAAAAGTCAACTTCCAAACTAATGGATAATACTTGATAAACACTTTGCACCACAACAATGTTGGCTCTTTCTTCTCCAAGATGTAGATAGACATACTGCCTTTTCCGTTCCGTTCCAAGCATGAGCATGCTCTAACCTTCCATCCACCTTCAAAACGCTTTTTCATTACGCTCAGATCATCCTAAAAGGGAGAGACACTTCTCCGTTAACTCGACGTTATCGCATGATGAAGCTTATTGTCAATGTGATGTGTAAAATTCCGTCGACACTCGCATTGATAAACGAGGAAGACCCTGGACATGCATCACAGGACATTGGTTTCATCATGCTGCTAAGAAACACTTCGCTTCAGCGACGATACTCAGCCTTTCAACGTTTTAGGCATATAAACCAATTCGGCCTAATGCAAGGGGACTCCATGGTCTGGTGGAAAGCAGGATTGGGAATCGCGGTCGCCACTGTTGCTGGTTACGTGATGATGCGGGTGTTGAATACGGAAAAGAGATAGTCTACCACATACACTCCCGTGCTACTTCTGCGTGTTTAACTGCCTCCCGAGTTGTCGAGTAAAGAAAGAGAAAGTCATATTAGATGATCGCGTTGAATAGAAGTTGAGTATGGCATATATTTATATGTATATGTATGATATTATACATATTATATAAATCACTGATTTTCAATATATGGCTATTTTCAATAGCTGAGCATTAGAGGATTACCGTAAAGGTGCGAAACTGTTTCGCGTAGATGCGCTTATATTTTCGCTCTCGTCAGGACGCCAGAACTTTTTATTTGCTGTTTATTCTCCCTAGTGTATGTATCTTCTTCTTCTACAAGAAGTATTTTCACCCTCTGTAATAAATTATTGTTTAATGTATTGTAATATAAAGTGAAGAGAAAATGTGACATGTGTGCTCCGTGTACATCTTCTGCTCATTTCGGCTTCCCGGTGCTCGAGTTCTTTGTACGATCACGTCCAGCGAACGCACGTCGGCTGAGCGACTTGGAAGATAGATGTGATTGACACATCTAGAAGTACTCACTGATTATAAATGATGTTCATCGAACATGCACAACCGTTGTGTTCGCCGAACGCGATTAATCGCAGAAACTGACAAACTGGGTTCTCATGGTCTCGCCAGTAAAATGAGACGATTGTGTCTATTGTAGTTTATTCAAGTCATATTATTGTAAGGTGCATCTTTACACAGAAAGATTTACAGAAAAGATCAGGGAGGTTGACGCGACTATAAAGTTTAAACAGACAATTTTTTATTATTATGCATTCTAAAATATATGGATTAGGTACAAGGCATGGATCCAAGACTGCTTCGCTCACAATTATTGTATTCGTGTGTATAACGGTAAAAATTAACAAGAAACACCCAACTAAGTCACCATGGAGCATTATACGCTACAGTACCGCCATGTATCATTGTCTAGGAATCATCTCTAATTTCTCCACTTCCTATGTTGATTTACAGCATATCTGAAAGTAGATAGATAGCATAGAGTTGAACATTCATTTGCAGCAAGCGCTATATCCTAGAGCAACGATCAAGAAATTAACCAAGCGACAACATGAGACAGAACTACTGACGATTAGCAGCTTTGCATTGACGAAGTGCCTCATTGAAACCTTCGCAGAGGGACAAGTCCGACTGATTTTGAGCACATTCCAGGAACTGTTTGATCTCCCATGAGCAAGCTGTACCAGCAGGTACTGAGCTTGGAACAGCTTCAGCTACTGCTGGCGCAGCTGGTGTGGCGGCGTCGCTGGACCCACCACTGAAAAGTCCAGTCATGGCATGTCCAATGGTGTGTCCCACAGCGGAGCCAATGGCCACACCACCCGCGGTGGCGGCCATCTGACCCATGAGGGACGGCTGCTGTGGTTGGGCCACCATGGGTGTCGATGCGGGCGCATGGGCTGGCACTGAGGATGGTGGAGGTGCGGCTTTGGCCGGAGCAGGCGTGGGCCTGACGCTGGAAGCAAATTCTAAGGTGAACAAAGGAGCCAGAACACAAAAGAACTTCAGCAGTAAGACGCAAGCAAGAAAGAGGCTGGTTAATCAAAATCTTTTTACCGCCCAAAATATGCAACTGTGACTGCTTCATTCTCTCATTGCTTACGTCTTAGCACTCAAGTTTATCTGTGTGCCCGCAGCCTGTCGGCTGAGTGACACGAAGAGAAACTGATTTCTCCGCGCGGCTGACGTTGGACGTCGCGGCGACGACCATGATGTAACGCACGCGAGAACGGCGCAAATAAGGATTGCCGATTTTTCAGCCGATCGAAAACACATTGCGCTGACTTACGTTCGCGGGGGAGGCGCGGCGGCGCGTGCACGTCGTGGCATTTTCGCTGTTTGCGACTTCCCGTCGGATCACGATCGATTCGAGCGCACAACGACGATACTCCGTCGCAGCGCGAAGTCCACTTCGATCAGCTTCGACCACGTTTGACGCAACACGTCAGATGCGACTCGCCAGTCACTTGGTTACATAACCATGCGCAATCGCGCGATGGGACGGGCCAATCAGCGCGGCTGGGTCGAACGATCGATCCGTGTGGGAGGGCGTTGCGGACGCTTCTTGAAACTTCTCGGCGGCTGACTACCAGACAGGAAGCTGAGAGCGGCCAACACGGCGTTTTCGGCGACACCGATTTTTCGCACTGGGAATGGGCGCTATCTGTATCCATTTTGAGAAGGGAACTACGATGCTACATCCACTTTTAGGTCTCGACGGTAAAACCTGCATCAGGTGGCTGTCCGTGTTACATTCACTTTCAGGCGGTTTATGTCCGTGCTACAACCATAATAGCGTACTTGACAAGCACGGTCTCGCGCATTGTTATGCATTTGTAACATGAATTAACATGTTAACATGCACAAAAAAAATAAGAATTGAGATTGTATATGATTAATATCATGAAGATTATAAACGATTTATATCGATATATAAATATATGATAATAAGATAATATTTTGTGTGTACCCAAAATTATTTTTCCAAAATATTTCAGCGTTACGTTAGTATTTATTTATACTCTGGCAGGCGTTTTTTAGCGCAGTTGTGTCCGTGTGCATGTGTTGCATTGAAAGTGTGCGTGACGTACGTGTGCATATACGCACTCACATACACACACATGTCATACGCAACAGATAGAATCTCAGGGTATATGCTTAACATTTTCAATTGCCGTACGTTTCTATGTAAGAATGTAGTCGGCACACACATGTAGAGAAACTGCTCCCGTCTATCCGTCTGAAGTCCCGCCCACCGCTCGGCTTGTTTTGACGAGCCAAGCGAAAGAGAGAGAGAGAGGGAATGTGTTCTCTCCATCTCGCTCTGATTCGCCACGTTGCCGAGATTGTGCTTCCCGACACACGGCCGAGACTGACGTTTCACTCTCGGCGTGAATCCAACGAGATGATCAATAGCAATCGATTTCGACTAAACTCGTTGTGTCGATAGATTTGCATGACAAATTAACATTGCACTTAAAGATACGGCGTAGCATTGAAGCGTTTGCAAGAAAGTCGCGATTGAAAATCGCGAATGCTTTATGAACCAAATGAAGGAGCGAGTTTCTCAAAGAGCGTGCGGCTTGGTGGAAGTACGTTGGACTCGCGGGGTTGAGGTCGGTGGTTCGCATCTCCTTGGCGGTCGGCATTATCCTTTTTCGCCAATCATTTTTTTTTCGTTTTTTAGGAAAATGCACGTGTTGCGTACAACATACGTGTATCACAATTAATTTTTTTTCATTTTTTAAGAAAATGCACGTATTGCATACAACACACGGGCATCGCAAGCATTGCACGTTTCGTCGGTGACACTTCCTCTGAGACCCCGCCCTCCGCTTGATTTGTTTCGACGAGCCAAGCAAAAGAGAGACAGAGAATGTGTTCGCTCCATCACCTCTGTAAAGATGGCCCTTCATTCTTCAAATTTGAAAAAAATTATTAGAGTTCTGAATGCTCCTCGCAGAGTTCTAGAGTTCGCAATCCTTTATAGAAAGAGTTCCGTCATTTAAAGTAGAGAAAATACCATTTTAAAAATCGGAGGGCCAACTTCACGACGCCCCTCATTATGTAAAAAATGACAATTCTTTTAGAGTTCTAGATAGATATTTAATAGTTCTATAGTTCTAGATAAGTTTTAAAAATAGATCTGTTTAAAACAATAAGAAAAATTATATTTAAAATATATTATACTTTTATACAAAATATATTAAATATATTATACATTATACTTACCTTCTTGCGATGATATCCTGGAGGCGAGGAGTGGCGACTATATTGGTTCTGTCGATGGATGTTTGTGGACGGCTGTAAAGGCAGGAAAAATTAATAAAATTTTTGCGTCGAAATCCGACCGGCGTGCAGTGGAGCTGTAGAACAAATCCGAGAGAAAGACGAAAAATTTTCTAAGTCTAGTGACGGGCGGCGTGTTGCTTTGTCACATTGCCGCATTAATAGCCCGTCACTGGCAATAAAATATTAATTATTAGTTGTCGCACGTGTTGGCGGGGCATGTGGCGGGCACTCATATTAAAAAACATCTTTTGGTAATAAAAAGTCGAAAATGTAGGGTTTTGAGAGGACTTTATTTTGGTGCCAGACCGAGGCCTGTATCTCTAACCGTTTAGGAGATATCGAAGGTTAAATTTTTCCAACCTTTCTCCGTTGATATCTCCGCTTCTACTGGGACTAGAGAGTCGCCACTTACGGCAAAATGTAGGATTTTGAGAGGACTTTAATTTGGTGCCAGACCGAGGCCTGTATCTCTAACCGTTTAGGAGGTATCGAAGGTTAAAGTTTTCCAACCTTTCTCCGTTGATATCTCCGTTTCTACTGGGACTAGAAAGTCGCCACTTACGGCAAAATGTAGGGCTTTGAGAGGACCTTAATTTGGTGCCAGAACCAGGCCTGTATCTCTAACCGTTTAGGAGATATCGAAGGTTAAAGTTTTCCAGCCTTTCTCCGTTGATATCTCCGCTTCTACGGGGAGTAGAGAGTCGCCACTTATGGCAAAATGTAGGATTTTGAGAAGATTTTAATTTGGAGCCAGAACCAGGCCTGTATCTCTAACCGTTTAGGAGATATCGAAGGTTAATGTGTTCCAGCCTATCTCCGTCGATATCCAGCCTTCCTCCGTCGATATCTCCGCTGCTACTGGGAATAAAGAGTCGTCCATGTAGTAAAAAATGTAGGGTTTTGAGAGGACTTTAATTTGGTGCCAGAACCAGGCCTGTATCTCTAACCGTTTAGGAGATATCGAAGGTTAAAGTTTTCCAAGCTTTCTCCGTTGATATCTCCGCTTCTACTGGGAGTAGAGAGTCGTCACTTACGGCAAAATGTAGGGTTTTCAGAGGACTTTAAATTGGTGCCAGAACCAGGCCTGTATCTCTAACCGTTTAGGAGATATCGAAGGTTAAAGTTTTCCAGCCTTACTCCGTCGATATCCAGCCTTCCTCCGTCGATATCTCCGCTTCTATTGGGAGTAGAGAGTCGTCACTTACGGCAAAATGTAGGGTTTTGAGAGGACTTTAATTTGGTGCCAGAACCAAGCCTGTATCTTTAACCGTTTAGGAGATATCGAAGGTTAAAGTTTTCCAAGCTTTCTCCGTTGATATCTCCGCTTCTACTGGGAGTAGAGAGTCGTCACTTACGGCAAAATGTAGGGTTTTGAGAGGACTTTAATTTGGTGCCAGAACCAGGCCTGTATCTCTAACCGTTTAGGAGATATCGAAGGTTAAAGTTTTCCAGCCTTTCTCCGTTGATATCTCCGCTTCTACGGGGAGTAGAGAGTCGCCACTTATGGCAAAATGTAGGATTTTGAGAGGATTTTAATTTGGAGCCAGAACCAGGCCTGTATCTCTATCCGTTTAGGAGATATCGAAGGTTAATGTGTTCCAGCCTATCTCCGTCGATATCCAGCCTTCCTCCGTCGATATCTCCGCTGCTACTGGGAATAAAGAGTCGTCCATGTAGTAAAAAATGTAGGGTTTTGAGAGGACTTTAATTTGGTGCCAGAACCAGGCCTGTATCTCTAACCGTTTAGGAGATATCGAAGGTTAAAGTTTTCCAAGCTTTCTCCGTTGATATCTCCGCTTCTACTGGGAGTAGAGAGTCGTCACTTACGGCAAAATGTAGGGTTTTCAGAGGACTTTAAATTGGTGCCAGAACCAGGCCTGTATCTCTAACCGTTTAGGAGATATCGAAGGTTAAAGTTTTCCAGCCTTTCTCCGTCGATATCCAGCCTTCCTCCGTCGATATCTCCGCTTCTATTGGGAGTAGAGAGTCGTCACTTACGGCAAAATGTAGGGTTTTGAGAGGACTTTAATTTGGTGCCAGAACCAAGCCTGTATCTTTAACCGTTTAGGAGATATCGAAGGTTAAAGTTTTCCAAGCTTTCTCCGTTGATATCTCCGCTTCTACTGGGAGTAGAGAGTCGTCACTTACGGCAAAATGTAGGGTTTTGAGAGGACTTTAATTTGGTGCCAGAACCAGGCCTGTATCTCTAACCGTTTAGGAGATATCGAAGGTTAAAGTTTTCCAAGCTTTCTCCGTTGATATCTCCTCTTCTACTGGGAGTAGAGAGTCGTCACTTGCGGCAAAATGTAGGGTTTTGAGAGGACTTTAAATTGGTGCCAGAACCAGCCTGTATCTCTAACCGTTTAGGAGATATCGAAGGTTAAAGTTTTCCAAGCTTTCTCCGTTGATATCTCCGCTTCTACTGGGAGTAGAGAGTCGTCACTTACGGCAAAATGTAGGGTTTTCAGAGGACTTTAATTGGTGCCAGAACCAGGCCTGTATCTCTAACCGTTTAGGAGATATCGAAGGTTAAAGTTTTCCAGCCTTTCTCCGTATAGCTTCTCCGTCGATATCTCCGCTTCTATTGGGAGTAGAGAGTCGTCACTTACGGCAAAATGTAGGGTTTTGAGAGGACTTTAATTTGGTGCCAGAACCAGGCCTGTATCTCTAACCGTTTAGGAGATATCGAAGGTTAAAGTTTTCCAAGCTTTCTCCGTTGATATCTCCGCTTCTACTGGGAGTAGAGAGTCGTCACTTACGGCAAAATGTAGGGTTTTGAGAGGACTTTAATTTGGTGCCAGAACCAGGCCTGTATCTCTAACCGTTTAGGAGATATCGAAGGTTAAAGTTTTCCAAGCTTTCTCCGTTGATATCTCCGCTTCTACTGGGAGTAGAGAGTCGTCACTTACGGCAAAATGTAGGGTTTTGAGAGGACTTTAATTTGGTGCCAGAACCAGGCCTGTATCTCTAACCGTTTAGGAGATATCGAAGGTTAAAGTTTTCCAAGCTTTCTCCGTTGATATCTCCGCTTCTACTGGGAGTAGAGAGTCGTCACTTACGGCAAAATGTAGGGTTTTGAGAGGACTTTAATTTGGTGCCAGAACCAGGCCTGTATCTCTAACCGTTTAGGAGATATCGAAGGTTAAAGTTTTCCAAGCTTTCTCCGTTGATATCTCCGCTTCTACTGGGAGTAGAGAGTCGTCACTT